ATCAACGCCTGGGAGAAAGGAGGAGAGAGGTCTATGCASAAGTTGCCGGAAGATTCTGTCTTCCGAGATCAGCAAGCGCCGTCAGGACAGAGGGGTTGGGAGGAAACCCCTGGGCTTCCCCCTCAGGATTCCTCTCTTCCCACATTTTTTGTTGTGCATGCGGTTGTGCAAATGGCGGGATCTGCTGTCGGGTCGCAGGCGCACAGGTAGGACACAGGATCTGGCCGACACCCCCCAGCCCCCCCCACTGCTCACCCAACTGATGAGACTTGCGGGGCACAGGCGGGAGGCCCAGGGCTGGAAGGACCAGAAAGACAAGGGTCATTCCCAGGAGAGTCTCCACCCGGGAGCAGGAAGACCCCGGCCGCGGCCTCACCTGTCATCCTCAGGGGCTTGCTAGGGAGAGGAGGGGTCTCCGGTTTCTTTCCTGGGGAAGGAGGAAGGTTGCTCAGGCCCAGGCGGGGCAAAGCCACAGGGGGGGGCCTCTGGACCCTCAGCCCCACTCACCTGCCCTGGGAGGCCGCGGGGGAGCCATGGAATCTGAAGAAGAGAAGGTCAGAGTCAAGGTCGGGCTAAGGGGAGGGGACAGGGTCACAGTGCAGAGACCGACCACCGAACCACCAGGGAACTCCTCGTATGAAAACTGAGAAGTCCGTGTCCTGGAAACCCCTCCGTCCTGGTGAGCCGGGACAGTTGGTGGCCTCGGAGTCACAGGGAGAGCTGAAGTGAGGACAGAGTTAGGTGTGGTTGGACCTGTCTCTGGGATTGGACGAGGGCGAAGCTGGGGTGATCGTGGCGAAGGGTGTGGGAGCAGCGTGGTCACTCGGGACAGGGTCAGGGTCCCGCAGAGTCCTTGCCGGGTTTGGGAACAGGTTGGAGGTCACGTTGCGGTTGGGCGGGGATGAGGGGATGTTGCATTTGGGAGTGGAGTTGCAGAGATGAGGAGGGCCGTGTTGGAGGGAGGGGTGGCCCTGAAGGCGGGGATGCGGCTGGTCTTGGAGGAGGGGTTGAGGACCGTGGGGGCACAGAGCTGGCGTCAGAGACAAGACCATCCCACGGTACAACCCAGCCCACCTCCTGCCTCACACAGAGCCACTCACGCCCCTAGACCTCAGAAACCGGGGATAGAGAGGCCCATTTTGCATAGGACGGCCACTGCCCAAGGACACCGGGGTGGCACTACCAACCCCAGAAACCTCTCACGACCTCCAGTTCCCTGGAGGGACTTCACTSAGGGACACCTCCCAAGCTCCCACGTTTCTGTCCACTCATCAGCCCCTCGGGGCTGGTCACCCACCACACCCAGGTGCCCTCGTCGACTCCACCCCCTGCCATGGGGCAGAGCCCCCAGATCCCCTGGGATTTCTCCGCTGCTTCGTCCCTTCCCTCTCGGTGGAGCTGGTGCCCAGAGCTCCAGGGCACGGTCCCAGTGCGCCTGCCATCGTGTCACCTGGCCTGGGGTGGGTCAACCCGAGCGGGTGGCTACAGTGTCCAGCGACCGCCCCCTGGGGCCCTGTCCCTCATTCCTGAGAGAGCCGTCTCACCTGGCTTGGGAGGCAGGTCCTTGTAGGGTGGCGCCATGTTTTCGTAGTCGTCACCGTCACCATCAGACTCCTCCACTGTGGTCCCTCCCAGAGAGAAGGCGAGTCAGAGTCCAGCCTCCCTCCCCTCCTCCCTCGGGTCCTGGTCCCTGGCTCCAGGTGGCCCCAGGGTGGGGATGCGGGGTCCCCACCCCCAGCCCACTCCTGGCGAGGGCCCTACCTGGTGGGTAGTGGCGCCCCGTGTTAGTGTACAGGGTGCTCATGGCTGCAGAGGACACCAGGACCCGGAGAGGAACGCCCAGTGCCCAGCAGCGCCTGTCCCCTGTGCCTTCTGCTCAGGCGTCCAGCGCCTGTCCCCTATGCCTTCTGCTCAGGCGTCCGGGGCCCCTCTCAGTTCCCTTTCTTTAGAAGTCAAATGCATGCAAATCCGTCTTGAGAAGAGCCCCTGCGACCTGCCCTAAGCTGCTCTCTCTCCCCAGTTCAGATCTCCCCAGGACAGTGACCATGGCCCCACAGCTGGGCACAGACAGAGCGCCAAGGCCCRGTGGAAAGTGGCCAATCTCCTCCCTCCTTGGACCTCTGACCTAAACAGGAGGGGCAATAGGCCAGTCAGGGGACACTGGGATGAGCCAGAAAAGGCTTGTTACACTTTATTCTCAATAGTGACCGCGTCGTCACTCCATAGTGACCTGGAGGTGGTGATGTYGCAGCCAGACGTGGAAATGACGGGGGCCAAGTGCTCCCACATTCCATAACGAAGTGCTAGGACCCCGCACCAGTGATCTACAGCTGTGTCCTAAGTCACCCAAAACTTAGTGACTTAAGGCAACCCTATGCATGTGTCATCTAGGTTTCTGCGACTTGGGGATCCAGCGCAGCTCAGCTGGGTGGCTCTGACTTGTCGTCTTTTGYAGGATGCAGTCTAAATGTTGCCCAGATGCCCGTGTTCCTTAGGCGCTGGTCACCGGAGCTGAGAGGTGGGATCAGCCGAGGTGCTCCCTCCCTGGCAGATGGACGCACAGAGAAAAGACCGAAGGCTTCGTCTCTGGGCTGTGGAGAAGAAAGGGACTCAGACATTTGCAGAAAAATGCGTGGACCTGGAAGGTCTCCCAGCAGGAGGAACAAGCCAGACACAGAAGGAGGAGCACCTCTCCTTCTCTCTCAAAGGCAGAAGCTAAAAAAGTCAACCYGAAAGTGGCCCAGTGATTTCTAGAGATGGGGAAGGTKTGGGGCGAGGGGAGGGTGGAAAGGAGGCGGGGTGTGCTCAGCGGGTGCTGGGTGCAGGCGCGGAAATACCAGGCGGAACCTCAGCCCTATACACAATTCATACGTCTTAATAAATTTTTTTCAAAAATTTTGAATCTAAAAATAAATGAACAGATACTTTGAAAGGGCCTCTAAGATAAAGCCTTAGTTGGGATCCCTGGGGAAAAGGCAGGATGTGACATTCTATAAAACTTTCTTATAATGTTCAATGAATTCATGGTATAAATAATATAGTTGATAACTAGCACTAGTTCCTTTTTTTTTTTTTTCCTGTGCTGGGAATGGAGCAGGGCCTTGTGCATGCTAACCAAGCACACTACCACTGAGCTGCAGCCTCAGCCCCAATAAATAGAACTTTAAATAGGACTTTTAATTAAAAATAAAAGATGTCTCCTGGAGCAGCCTTTACCTGAAAGCCTGCCAGTACTGGAGATCTGCCTCTAGGACCGTGCACCCACCTGGCTCTGGACAGGAGACCTCCATCCTTCCCACGAGTCTCTCCAAAGGGATGACTGGGTGTCCCCACAGCAGGGTGGAGGCTCAGGTGGAAGCCACATGCCTAGCCTCACAAGTCACACACTGTGTCTAGTCTGCRCTCAGTTCACCATGTGGACCAGACCTGGGTCATTGTGGGATGAGACTACACAAGGRCACAAATGCCGGGATGTAGGGTCACTGGGTCATCTTGAAGCCTGCTACCACARTCATACGAGCTGAATCTGCAAAGCCTGTAAGTTGTGTGTGAGTCCCGATGCACAGCCTGGACAGGACCACAACAGAATGGAATTTAGTTTCTTTTTCTTGTTTTTGTTTTGCAGTACTGGGGATTGAACCCAAGCACACTCTACCCTTGAGCTACATCCCCAGGTTTTTGTTTTTGTTTTTGTTTTTGTTTTGAGACAAGAGTTCTACTAAGTTGCCGAGGCTGGCCTCAAACTCGTGATCCTCCTGCCTCGGCCTCCTAAGTAGCTGGGATTATAGCTATGTGACACCATGCCCAGCTAAAAGTCCCCCAGAGTCTCCTGTTAAAGCCTTGGACCCCAGGTGGTGGAGCTACGGGAGGTGGTGGAAGCCGTAGGAGGTGGGGCCCGGGTGAGGGAGTGGGTTCTTTGTCCCCCACCCTTGATTCCTCCAGGAAGTGGATTCCCAAACAGACTCAAAGGTTTCGCTCACAACTTGCATTTTTAATTAGGAGGAAAGCTTCCTTATACAGATGGTTCCTGACACAGGGGTCCCCGATCCCATCTTAGACGCTTCACTTACTGACTTCAGCAAAGTCCCTTTTGCCCAGATGAAGTCGGTTCCATCTCCACGGGGTCAGGACTCAGACGGTTAATCAGGGGGAGACACAATTCAACCCACTACGAGGTCCCAGGACTGAATGCTCSGGCGCGCGGGGATCTGAGTCGACCCTGGAGATGACGGTAGGAGCCCAAGGAGTGCAGAGAAAGTGGTTCCAGAAGCTGGAAAAAACTGGAGAACGGGGGGGGGGGGGGGGGGGGCCGCAGCCGCCAGGCCTTGGTGTCGGCCCCCGGGAACCGATTTGGGTCTTTTGAACTCCAGAACTGGAAGGAACCCAATCCTGTGGTTTAAACCATGGAATTTATGAAACGTTATT